TGGTGGTGGCGCACGCCTTTAATCCCAGCACTGAGGAAGCAGAGGCAAGTGGATGTCTGTGAGTTCGAGGCCAGCCTGGTCTACAAGAGTTAGTTCCAGGATAGTCAGGGCTGTCACACAGTAACCTTGTCTTGAAAAACAACAACAACAAAAAATCCTTACTCATCGACCTCATAAACAGATAACTACTCCTGTGTATGACTCGCAGATCCCAGGTGCAGTTATCAAGAGCCTTCGTTTCCAGATCACAAGATCTGCAGTCCAGGGCACCGGGCTCCTTCCTCTCTGCATTAGCCACCTCATCCATAAAACAGGGAGTCTGGAATCCAACATTTTAAGTTGCGGACCTCCGAGATGGTGAGAAGACAGCTTCCTGTTTTGGGTGGGAGGGTTTCGAGATTGGGTTTCTCTGTGTAACAGCTCTGGGTGTCCTGGAACTAGCTCTGTAGCCCAGGCTGGCTTCAAAACTCACAAGATCCGCCTGCCTGTGCCTCCCGAGCACTGGGACTAATGGCGTGTGTCACCAGGCTTACAACAGCAAATACTAAGCGCCCAGTACAAAGTCTTCAGTACAAGAAAACCCAAGGCCCAGAGCAAACTGAAAACCTGGAGGGTGGCAGAAGAAACAATGAGTTTCCAAGCCACAAGCAGGAGGATTAGTGAGGCCTCCCTACTATCTTACCAGCTGCCCCCAACGGCCAAACCCACGGGTCCAGAAGTCAGCCCAAATCCTCTGGCTTAGGATTCTCAAAATGTACTTCCTCTAGAGGGCTCTACTCAAACCCATTCCTCCTTGGAGCTCTATTACAAGGAAGTAGAAGGGAAGAAGGGGAACCCAAACAGAGCACCCACCCCGAAACTCCAATCCTTCCTTCTCCACTTAAGAGACGCAGGGCTACAAGGAACTCAGGAAGATCCTTTTTATAAGCTTCCACGGACGCCACAGGTAGCCTAGGGTCCAAGTCCACAACTCCAGGCCACTGCCAAGAATCCAGGCTGTGTTCTGGCCCTCATAGAAGAGACACCGGGTGTAGCCTGGCTCGAGCCTCTATCCACACAGGTGATGTACCCAGTGCTTTCCCGCCTTTATTTTTAAAACTAATCCCCGGCTGAATTCTCTTCTTTAGCATCAATGCTCCATCCTCCAGGATGCAGAACGCGGGGTGCGGGGACTTCAAAGGTCAGGCAGCCCCGGCCGTGGGCTTGTCCCCGGCCCGCCTCGCGCCCGTCCCGCACTCACTTGGCCCCGGCAGCCTGGAAGAGTTCGGCCCACTGATCCGGTTGGAAGAAACGCGCCGTGAACTGCGGTCCGAAGTCGGCGTAGCTGAAGCCGGGCGGGTAGTTCTCTTTCATGAAGAGCTCATAGGCCGGCAGCCGCTCGCCCTGCCAGTGCCACCAGAACCACTCGCTGCCCCAGGCGGGCACCGAGAAGACCCCCCAGTGCACAAACACCCCGAACTTGGCCTCGTCAAACCATGTCGGCAGTGGCCGAGAGTCCAGGCTCTTCCAGTCCGGGGTGTAGCGGCGCGGAGCCCGGCCCACTGCCTGGGCCGCAGCAGCCAGCCACAGCAGCAGCGTGAAACCCACCGCCCGCCATTCACTTCTCAGCTCCCACATCCCTGCTTCCTTGTTTGTGCCTTGTCCCTCTGAACGCGCAAGCGCCCGCCAGTAGCTCCGCCTCTCTGAGTAACGATTGGCTCAGATGGGAAAGGGGCGGGATCAACCGTGAGGATCAGCGTGTTGTCTGAGGCGCCATCTCTGGAGCGCCCTCTGGCGTTGGGAGAGAGAAGGGCGCAAAGAGGCGTTGACAGCTCTGATCTATTGAATTTAAACCCCACAGACTCCCCTTAAGGACTTAATTGCCGGGTTCCCTTAAGTGGGAAAGACCCAGGGTGTGCGGAGAACAGGGAGTAGCCCACGTTACTGAACCGATCTTCAGGAGAAGAATGAAATTAGATTGTTTTATTTAGTGGCTAATTAAGACCCATGGTATCTTTGTGCTATACATCCAACCGGCAGGTGGCACTTAGCTTATTGCAGTCTTGCACAAGAGATTTAGAAATAACGAGGTAGAAAGATAAAGAAGAAACTTTATGAGGAGAAATGGGTGCTGAAAGAGGAAAGGAAGATGTAGTTATTTTGGCCTGTCTTTTAATTATTGAACTTACTTTTAAAACTCTGAGGCATTTAATCATTGTAATTTAATTTTAAATTGTAACTTAAATTTATTTTCAGATAGGGGGTCTCATGAAGCTCAGGCTGGCCTCGAACTTACAGCTAGATGACCTTGAATTACTGATTCTCCCGCTTCTACCACTTGAGAACCAGGATTACTGGTTGGGGAGGCACCACCACTCCTGGTTTTATGCAGTACTGGCTTTTTGAACCCCTCAGAGATTTGCCCATGCAAAGGACTGAGCTGCACCCCCAAATTTCTTGGGATGCTCAGAGAGCTTAGTGTCTACCCGCAGGTGCTGGGGTGTAGTTTAGGAGTCCTTAGCATGTTGGAAGGCCTGCGGTGCGGTTCAGTTCAGTGCCACCAAACAAGCCCACGGAGGGCCACTGAACACAATTTTTTAGAATAGCAGGGCCAGAAAATTGAGAGCCAAGAGACCCTCTTTGCCTCAGGAACATCTGCAAGGTTTGCCAAGCCACCTGGTTCCTCTACAGTCAGCACATGCCCAGTAGGCTGTGTGTGTGTGTCCATAGCTGCAGGAAGTACGCAAGCAGGAAGTCTGGTGGTTCATGTGGCACACTGTCTCCATGGTTGCCGAGACAACCACCACATGTCAGAGCAATAAGAGGTTTTACTGCTTCTTGATGGCACCCTCTTCCTATCTTTCCCAACTTACTGAGGAGAAAATGAAGGCAAGGAGATGGGCAGGGGGTGCCCAAGATGACGAAAGTATAGGCCGAAGGTAGTCCCAGAATTCACAGCAGTGGAAACCTTCCCTCCACCTACTCTGTCTGGCACCTTGGAGAAAATCAGGGCTTGTGTTAACAGACTAAGCACTTCCTCCTTTGGGGAGTAATAAGGAAGCATAGGGTATTTTCTGTTTCTTCCTTCACAAGGTAATGTTGAAATATGGTCTAAAACACTAAGCACAAAGGACTTTAAAAAAAAAAAAAAACCAACTTCTCCCCTCATCCTTCCAAATAGTGTTAAGAATTTGCGGTAACTTTTGATGCACAGAACGTGTCTTGGGGAGAACAAAATGGGACCCCGTGACCTTCATTTGACCTAACAGAGAAACAGGTCGTCTTGCAGAGGCCTATGGGAGGCTCTGTAGCAGAGCGGACAGACCTGCACTATTAGGAAGCATGAGTTTTTTGCCCTGGACACCCCCTTGTTGGTTTCTCTGGGTAATGGGCAAGTCTTGTCTGCTGGTTGGCTCATCATTTAAAAACAAGGCTGCCTCTCATTTCCCCAGGGCCCTTGCCTTGTCCTTCCTCTTCATAAACTCTGCCTCTCTACTTAAAGCAAAAGTAGAAAGTATTTAAGAGCTGGATTCAGAGCTGGACTGAGAGTTGGCCAGAGGTTAAGAGCACTGGCTGCTCTTCAGAGGACCCAGGTTTGATTCCCAGTACCCACATGGCAGCTCACGGCTATCTGGAACACCAGTTCTAAGGGATCCGAATCTCTGTAAGCCCCAGGCACACATGTGGTGCACAGACATACATGCAGTAAAACACACCTACAGTAAAATAAAATAAAGAGAAGAAGAGAAAGAGAAGAGAAAAAACGGCGTCTCACTTAGGCGAGGCTGGCCTTAAACTTTCAGCAATTTCACCTGAACACCAGGATTCTATTTGTGCACCGCTATGCCCAGCTCTGGCCCTTCGTTTATTTTTTATTTTGACACAGGTCCCACCAGTTTGCCTAAACTGAACTTGAACTCCGTGTACAGCTCAAGCAGGCTTTGAACTTAGACTCTTCTTGCCTCAACCTCTAAGGGAGCTAGAATGAGCAGGCCCGTACCACCAATCTCAGCTTCCCTGACTTTCTGTCAAAAGGTAGCCAGCCAGTGTGGAGGCTATTTCCACCTTGACTGAAGGTCAGAGAGTTGTGACTAGCCTCTTGTTCCTTCAAGGTTGCACTCCAACTTCAAACAAAGGTCCCACCTAGAGGTAGCTCTAAGAGTTCTGCTCTCTCAAGGTTATTGTCAACAGGTGTGGCTAATAACCAGGTTTTGTGCTCCAAGAATAGAGATGTTCCCACCTCAAGCAAGAATCTCAGGATCCAGCTAAGGGATAACTTTGGATTCCTTTAGGAGATAACTTTGCATTCCACATAGAGAGTGGTTTGCCTACAACAGAATATTTTGATCTAGGATGTGTGGGTGACTTTTTTTTTTGTTCTACCAACAGACTATTTAACTGTAGTCCGTGACCTTCATCTGTGGGTGACTTGTTTTCTTCTACCAACAGAATATTTAACTCTAGTCCGTGACCTTCATCTGGTCTGTTCAGTTCCTTGTATCATGTTTTTTTTTGTTGTTGTTGTTTTTTGTTTGTTTGTTTTTCAAGATAGGGTTTCTCTGTAGCTTTGGAGCCTGTCCTGGAACTAGCTCTGTAGATCAGGTTGGTCTCGAACTCACAAAGATCCACCTGCCTCTGCCTCCCGAGTGCCGGGATTAAAGGTATGTGCGACCATCGCCCGGCTATCATGTTAATGCAATCTTTTGTCTGACTTCTACCTTTTGGGGTCAGGGGTATTTTAAGCAGTTGGAAATGAAACATGGGTGAATTTCAGTACTCACTGGAATTCCCTCTTGATACTATCCTGTATGTTTCTCCATTTTATTATTTTCATTTGCGTCTTTATAATCTTTCCTATGTTTTTAAATCTCTGCGCCTCTACCCTGGCAAGAGGTGTTTTTGTCGAGGCTGGTCAGCGACGATGGGGTTTGTCTCCCTCGTGGCTGGACAGCTAGGACCGGCACAAAACCTGGTGTGCACATATTTATGACGCAGATTAAAGAACATACGAACAGGGGGCACGTGGTTTTTAATGTATTAAATGACATTAATGGAGAGCTTTTCATTCACTGTGCCTGTGGCCCCCAGTGTTATCCCTCCTGTCACCAGCAGTGTCTTGAACCTCCCTCTATTGGGGATGTTCCCTTAGTGAAGGTAAAATTCAGATACCCAGGGACATAGCATGGGGCTGTGGACAGAGGATGTCAGCCTGTGTCTGGACCACAGCAGGAAGTCTCTCCACCTCTGCTCCTTCTGTTTGTCCCCCAGGACCATAGTATGGAAGAGACAACAAGACTAGGTTAGCATCGCTGGAAACAATCTAGGACTCAGAGAATCTTTGTGAATATCTTGCTTCGCCTTGGACCTAGGCTAGCTGGGAATACTGCTACAGTAGACACAGCAGCTGTGACAAGGGCAATACAGGCCCCTCCAGACTGTACCTCCAGTGGGTCCCCAAGGACCTAAAGTCACATGACTCCAGGGCTTATCAGGGTGTCAAAGGGTCCTTGCCCAACAGGATGCTCTGAGCTGATGGCTTGTGACTGTCTGAGCCGACACCCTTGAGCCTTAGCACACCACAATTCTTGATCCTCAAGAGGCAAGGGTTGCCTGAAAGTGGGGCCTCACTGAGCTTTACAGCCACGGAATCCAAAACCATGAAAAGGGAACCAGAACTAGCTGGTCTCGCTGCCAATTATCAGCAAGACAACCTGGAATCCGCACCATAGCAGCCGTGGGCACCGGTGAACTTACAGGCAGTGGTCACACTGGCCAGGGTACTCTGTGAGCCCAGGAGAACAAGTCCTTCATCTTCTCAGACCACCTCTGAGTCCTCTATTACAGTCCCTGGAGGCCCCTCTTGCTTCTTGGTCTCTGGAGTCATAAGGGTTTCCTGACTTGATGTAAACAGAACCGGTCTCGTCACAGGCCACTTTCCACAGACTGTGCAGGTCGGCATGACCAGGTCACCCTCCAACCATGAAGCCCAGTGCTCTTTGGCAAAACAGGGTCTGTGTTTAGTCCCCTAGAGCTGGTTCCAGAAGGACGCAGGGTCTGGGACTCCTCTCTCCTCGAGTGAGTAAACTGATCCTCACACAGGCTGTTTCTAATAGGAAACTAGGTACCGTCAGCAATTGGAGCAGCCTGGACTTCTGGAAGCAGGCACCACGGTGGTTTTCACATCAGCCTCTGTCTCTGTAATGGAGGACCTTGGGGCTTCTTCTTTTCCCTCAGACCCAAGCCCTCGTAGATGCTTCTTCCAGCTGACCAGGCGGTGCTGGGCAGTGGAGCGGATCTCTCCACTTCGCAGGGCATAAATGATAGGATTGATCATAGAGTTAAGCAGGCACAGCATGGAACAGAAGGCGAAGGCCTCCTTGACCTGGTCACTCAGTGTGCTGACCAGGCTATGGGCCATGAGAGTCAAGGCAGGGAACCAGCATATGAGGAGAACGGCCAGTACCAGCCCCAGGGTCTTGGCCAACCTCACATCTAGCCGCATCCGAGCTAACCCAGGCACCTGCCTGTCCTGGTGCTCTGCCAAGCTGGCTACATGTTGGTGGGCTTTCCAGAGAACATACCCGTAGGTGTAGATGATGCCAACGAAGAGAACGGTAATGAAGAGGAGCCAGCCCAGCAGGTAGTCATTGGGGATGAGTGGGAAAAGCTCAGAGCAGGGACTAGGGCAACAGGTCCATCCCATGAGTGGCAGGTAGGAGATCAATGCCGAGAGGACCCACATGACACAAAGGGCCACCAGTGCCCTCCCACGGGTGACTAGAGCCTTGTAGGTAGGTGGGTAGCACAGACATAGGTACCGATCAATAGCGGTCAGCAGCAGGCTGCCTACAGAGGCTGTGAAGGTCATGGTCACACTGCCTATCTTCAGCAGGAAGACAGCCTTGGTGTCAACACCGTGGAAGACATGGAAAATGACGAAGCTGCAGGCAAAGATGATGCTGGCCAGGAAGTCAGCCCCAGCCAGGCTGCCAATGAGGAGGTACGAGGGCTTCCTGCGGAGCCGCTTGGAGGACAGGATAAGGTAGAGCACCGCCATGTTCTCCAGGGCACTCAGCAGGCCCAGCAGGGTACACAGCACTGCCACAGCTATCTTCTGGGCATCGCTCAGAATCATGTAATCCTTCATCGGGTTGAAGTCCGAGCCGCTCTCTGAGCCATTGGTCACCTCTGTCTCCCAGCATCCCTCCATGGCCAGGCTTTGGCCTCTACCAGGTCTGGCCCAGAAGACTCGGCTGTGGATGGGGAGAGAAGAGTCTTGGGATATTAACAGTAATGCCTCCCAGGGGAGCCGACACTAATCAAACATTTACCCACATGCTACAAATATCAATTTTTATTTTGTTGTCAAGCCCAAGCCAGGACTTTGTTGTTCGCCCAAGCCAGGACTTTGAGTTTCCAAGTAGCAGAAGTGATCTGCCAGGTTTTTTGGTCTTTTGTTTTCTAAAGAGACAGATCCTAAAGCTTCCTTTTAAAACTAAGGGGAATTCCTGGGGCTAGCAACCAAAACAACAAAATCAGGAAGAAGAGGAAGTGAAGATGTAGGGATATTTTTTTCTTTTACTTATTTTTGGTATGTGTGTGTGTGCATGTGCATGCACATGCGTGTATACGCTCATATGTGATGTGTATCTGCAGGCATGAGTGTGCCATAGAGTGAGTGTGGAGGTCAGGAGTGGGTTCTCTCCTTCTACCGTGGTGCTGGAAATTGAACTCAGGACATCAGGCTTGCACACCAAGCACTTTAACTCACTAAGCCATCTTGCTGGTCTACTTTCTCTTTTCGTTTTTGAGACGTGGCCTCACAAGGTAGCCTTGTGTGGAAGGAGTGGCGGGCCGCTTCCCGCCGCTGCCCTGCTCCCAGCTAGCTTTACCCAAAATAATTACACAGAAGCTGCATTCATTTAAACCCTGCCTGGCCCATTATCTCCAGTCCCTTATTGGCTAACTATCACATATTGATCTAACCCATTTCTAATATCTGTATTGCCACTTGACTGTGGCTTACCTTCATGAGTCTAACCAGCGTCCGTCTCGGAGAGGAGAGTCATGGCGTCTGCCTGACTCTGTTTCTTTCTCCCAGCATTCTGTTCAGTCTACTCTGCCTATCTAAGTTCTGCCCTATCAAAAAGCCAAGGCAGTTTCTTTATTAACCAATGAAATTAACACAGACAGAAGACCCACCTACATCATTCCCCCCTTTTCTGTTTAAACAAAAAAGAAAGGCTTTAACTTTAACATAGCAAAATTACATATAACAAAACAGTTATAAAGCAAGAATTACGGTTACAATATTTATATCTATTTTATCTTTTATCATAACTAAGGAAAACTATAACTAACCATTCTTCACCTCCATCAAAGACTCCAGAAAGATATAATATTACCTAAGTAAACAAGAAACAAGCAACTTTGAAAACTCTAGAAATGACAGGAACATCTCACTCCTGTTTCGGGGTCCAGAGCAGCTGGGATTACAGACAGGCATGTGCCACCAAACCTGTCTTCAGTTTTGTGTGTGTGTATGAGAGAGAGAGAGAGAAGTGTGTGTGTGTGTGAGAGTGTGTGTGTGTAAGTGTGTGCTGTTGTTGTCCCAGTTTTGGTAAGATACTAAAGGCTAACAATGATTTGGGGATAGGAAACGATAGCGCAGACTTCTCACGTGTTGGGAAGATAAACTCTAAAGAGGCAATGTTTTGTGGACTGTAATGGTATCTGCTTTTAATCCCAGCACTCAGGAGGCTGAGGTAAGCAGATCTCTGAGAAATGGAGACCAATTTGAGCTACATAGTGAAATTCTGCCTCAAAAACAATTTTTTTTATACTCATGTAGGGAATGCAGCTTGCCTAGCACGAACAAAGCCCTGGTATAGTCTCCAGCACTGCATAAACTGGGTGTGGTGGCGCACACCTTCAATCCCAGCACTCGGGGAGGGGGGGTGACAGCAGGAGGATCAGGCTAAAGTCATCTTTGTCTTAGAAAAACAACTGTATGGGGGCTGGAGAGATGGCTCAGCAGTTAAGAGCACTGACTGCTCTTCCAGAGGACAGGGGTTCCATTCCTAGCAACCACATGATTTACAACCATCTGTAATGAGATCTGGTGCCCTCTTCTGGCCTACAGGCACACATGTAGGCAGAACACTGTGTACTAAATAAATAAATAAAAATAAATAAAGTTAAAAAAATCAACTGTACTATATATAAGATATAGAAGTCCTGTTAATTTGAATATCAGATAGTCATTTTTTTTTCTTTTTGATTTTTTTAAAAATTTTTTTAAATTTATTTATTTATTAAAGATTTTTGTCTCTTCCCCGCTACCGCCTCCCATTTCCCTCCCCCTCCCCCAATCAAGTCCCCCTCCCTCCTCAGCCTGAAGAGCAATCAGGGTTTCCTGCCCTGTGGAAAGTCCAAGGAACCCCCACCTCCATCCAGTTCTAGTAAGGTGAGCATCCAAACTGCCTAGGCTCCTACAAAGCCAGTACGTGCAGTAGGATCAGAAACCCATTGCCATTGTTCTTGAGTTCTCATCAGATAGTCATTTTTGATATATAAGTATTTCTTGAATATTGAAGAAAAATACTTAGGACAACTAGACATTGTGTGAGACATTATTAAGCTTAATAAGAAAGCAAACTGAATACTCCTCCAGAAAGACAAATTTCCTAAACAGATAATGTGGGATTTTTCCATCTAGAGGCCCATGGAATTTGAATTCATAAGCTCAGGGATGAGCAACAAGCAAGCAAGAGTTACCAGGTGTGCCAGCATTTGCAAGAGTTTTATATAATTCTTGGATATACTTTAGAAGGGCAAGGTGGTGGTGGTGCACACCTTTAATCCCAGCACTCAGGAGACAGAGGCAGGCAGATCTCTGTGGGTTCGAGGCCAGCCTGGACTACAGAACTAGTTGAAGCATGATTAATAAAAACTCAGAGAGAAAAATTGGGATACAACCTGAAGGTCTGAAAAGCAGTACAGTCAGTCACTGGCTCTTCCCTCGACCTCAGTCTGAAATGCTTCCAGGAATCTCACTCAGAATGAGTCTGTGCCTGAGAGCTGACTCCTCCTGTTTTATAATCCTCTCTAGTTCTGGGATTAAACGCCTGGTTTCTATGGCACACTAGTGTGACTACTGGGATTAAAGGTGTGTGTCATTGCTGCCTGGTCTGTAAGGTTGGCCAGTGTGGCTGTTTTACTTTCCCAAATCCCAGGCAAGCTTTATTTATTAAAATGCCACCACAGCTTGTCCCAGGACAACCAGGACTATATGGAGAAACCCTGTCTCGATGAAACAATAAAGAAAGAAACCAAAAAGCATGAATGAAAAAGATAAATAAAAATAAAAGAAGGGGTTGGAGAGATGACTCAGAGGCTAAGAGCTGTCCATACAGAGGACCTGAGGGTACACGGAGGCTCACAACCACGTCACCCTCCAGTTCTATGGGCTCTGATATCCTCTTCTGGCCCCCATAGTGCACTTATACACATAAAATAAAATGAGTGAATCTTTAGTTGGGTGTGATGGTTCATGCCTTGAAACCAGCACTCTCAAGATTGAGGCAGGTCTGTGAGTTCAAAATCAGCTGACTTATATAGCACAAAGCATGCTCAGGACCTTGTCTCATAAAACAAGAAGAAAAAAAAAAATAAGACAAACCAAAAAACTTACAAAACAAACAAACAAACCTAAAAGGAGACCGGAGGTGGATCAGCTGGTAGAGAAAGGCGCTAAATCACTGCATCTCCCCAACCCTGGCGCGCACACACACACACACACGCACACACACGAATGCATGCACACGCACACACGCACACACATGTACACACATTAACACATGCACACACACGAGTGCATGCACACACACACGTGTACACACATTATGTCACACACACAAATAAATGAATGAATGAATGAATAGATAAATAAATAAATGTGATTTTGTTTTTGTTTTCTTGAGACAGGCTTCTCTGTGTACCCTTGGCTGGCCTGAAACTTGCTCTGTAGACAGGCCAGCCTGGAACTCATGCCTCTGGTCCCCGAGTGCTGGGATTAATAAGGGCATATGATTTTAAAATTAAGCAACATAGGAGGTTAGGACCCCTGGTGGTTACGTGTGTGACTTCAGCAACCTAAAGTCTGGATGACACTGAGTTCAGGCTCAGCCCTGACGCCTTGAAGACCTCATCTCAAAAATAAACAAATACATAAATAACTTGCAGTCCATATGGAGCTGAAGCCAGCCAGGGCTAATTCTATCTGTAGCCAACAAACCAAACAAACAACCCCCAAAATAAGACTGTCTGCTAAGAGACCTTTGTTGCCGAAACATCCCTTATCTTTTCAGCAGGAGGAAATCCAGTCTAGGAAGGAGCAGAGGAAGTCAGCCGCTGTGGTGAGGTGATAAACTCACAAACACATTCCACTTTTTAATTTCTTTGAGAAAGGCTCTGTGTAGACCAGGCTCCCTTCCAACTCACAGGGATCTGCTTGTCCCTGCCTCTCAAGTGCACAGTGAAGGCCTGGCTCTCCGTGCTGGGCTCACTTTTCCTGTTTCTCTCCTGTGACTGCTGAGTTTTTGTGTGGATGAGTGTGCCTGTGCTCGTGTGTGTGGAGGCTAGGGGTCAAGAGCCAATGCTTTCTTCAACTGATCTTCACCTTATCTCTCTGAGGCTGGGTCTCTCTCCCGGAGTTCACCAATTCAGCTAGACGGGATGGTCGCCAAGTCCTAGGGATCCTTCTGTCTCTGGCTCCAAAGTGTTAATAATGACGGGTAGACATCATGGCTAGTTGTTTTGTTTATTCAATCATTTTTCTTTTTTAATGCTTGCTTCTTTCGACTTAAGTCAAAAAGTTCAAGCACTTTACCATTTGGGCCATCTCACCAGTCCCTTCATCTGTTTTTCTTTCTTTCTGTCTTTCTTTCTTTCTTTCTTTCTTTCTTTTTTTTTATTTTTTTGAGACAGGGTTTCTCTGTGTAGCCCTGGCTGTCCTGGAACTCGCTCTGTAGACGAGGCTGGTCTTGAACTCAGAGATCCACCCAGCTCTCCCTCCCAAGTACTAGGATTAAAGGAGTATGCTACTACACCTGGCTCGCTCTATCTATCTATCTATCTATCTGTCTATCATCTATCTATCTATTTTTGTGGTCCTGGGGGATCAAATCTCAGGCCGTACACATTCACAAGCGCTCTACCACTTTTAGCCAAATATACATTGTATAGATTTCCCCTGCCCCTCTTTCTTTTTCCATGTGGTCACAGGAAAAATATCAGCAATATCCAGGAGGAAGATGCTCTACCTTCCAACCCACACCCAGCTGGACATCTGCTGCCTCTGAGGAGAAACTTTGCCTTCTGACCTCCCAGTCTTTGCCCCTGGTTTTTCTGCCCCATATCCGTCCTGGACTTTCTTTTAGTTCCTCTGCCCAGTGGAGCCTTCCCGAGCCTGCAGCCATGCATCAGCCTCCCAGAAGGTTCTGCACGTATCGGCCAGTTTTACACACTGCCTTCCCTTCAACTATTCCAATAACCAAGAATATGGAATTTAATTTCTATAGAATATTGTTCTTGGGGTGGAGAAACAGGTTGGCTGGTAAAGGTGCCTGCCAGAAAGTCAGACAATCTGACCTGGATTCCTGGGACCCACATAAAGATGGAAGAAGAGAGTTATCCCCATAAGTTGCCCCCTGACCTCCAGAAGCAGGCTATGGCATGCTCACACACATACACTCATGCACATAAAATAAATAAATATAAAAACTTAATAAAAATTTTAAAATGTTGTTTCCAGCCAAAAAAAATGATTTCACCTACACAACACTGTAATCTAAAACTTCAGGCTGCAAGGCTGCTGACTGAAGAGATGGCTCAGTGGACAAGATACCCTGGAAGACCTGAGTTCAGCTCAGCACTCTCCTTAAGAGCTGGGAGTGGCCAAACACCTGCCTCACCTGTAACTTCAGAGTTGGGTGGGGCTGACAGAGGGGTCACTGGAATTTGCTGACCACCAGCCCAGCTCTGGGCTCAGCCAGAGACCTTGTTGCAAGGGAATAAGTTAGAGATCCATAGAGCAGGACACACAACATCTGGTACGTGCACCCACACACATGTGTGCAGATGCACCACCCACATATACACCACACACACACAAACACATAGATACACAAATTAATAATAAGTAAATAAAAAAATAAACTAAAAGTTCCGGTTGGGAGTGTGAGTCATGGTAGCACATACCTGTAATCCCAGCACTCAAGAGGCTGAGGCCGGACTGCCGTGTGTTTGTGGCCAGGACATAGTGTGTTCTAAGGCAGGAGCTGCTGGCAGTTTGATGTTGGGTAGCATAATGAGTTCAAGGCCAGCTTAGGCAACACAGCAAAACCTTGTCTAAAAATAAATAGATCAATAAAAAGTAAAACTAAAATAAAACCTTTAGGGAAGGCCTTACCCTATCCAGAGCGAGCACAGACGATGGTGGCGGCTGTGCCTCATCCGGCACAGTGTGGTCGCAGACCACTGTTACCATCCAGAGGAAGGGCAGGAAATGCATGCATTTGATGGACATCCTAACAAGGCAACAACAGGAAGCACAGAGCAACAGGAAACCCAGCTCCCGGTCCCCACACAGATAGAAACACTCCTTTGAGGCCACACTGATCTCCTAGAAGGCCTAGGGCTGTGCTTGCTGCACGGAGACTGGGAGTTTGTCACACAGGCAGCCGCTCTGGTTCCATCTCTGTCACTCTCATCATGTGACTGTGGGCAAGTCCCTCTCCTCATCTGCGACGTGGCAATAACGTTACCCGCCCGTTGTTAGGGAGGCCAAGTGGACCGAGGACATCCGTTGTAGTTTTGAACCTGAGAGCTGGCAAGATCTTTTTGATCCTTTCAGAATGTATATAAGACCTGTCCGGCTTGGTGTGGTAGCGCACTCCTTTAATCCCAGCACTTGGGAGGCAGAGACAGGTGGATCTCTATGAGTCTGAGGATAGCTTGGTCTATGTGGCAACTTCCTTACATAGTAAGGTGTGGTCACAGAAACAGTTAATAGTACACACACACACACACACACACACACACGTGTGCACGCGCACACGCACATGAATGCTCATTTTTTAAAAACTTACTTAATTTTATTTTATGTGCATTGGTGTGAAAGTGTTAGATCCCCTGGAACAGTAGCTATAGACAGTTGTGAGCTGCCATGGGAGTATTAAGAACCAAACCCCGGTCCTCTGGAAGAATAGCCAGTGCTCTTAACTGCTGAGCCAACTCTCCAGCCCATAAATGAAATTCTTTTTTTGTTTGTTTGAGACAGAGACAGGATTTCTCTGTGTAGCCCTAGCTGCCCTGGAACTTGTTCTGTAGACCCGGCTGGCCTCGAACTCACAAAGATCTGCCTGCCTCTGTTTCCAGAGTGCTGGGATTAAAGGCGTGCGCCACCACCGCTTGGTGATTCATCTCTTATCAACATGTCATTGTCATTCCGCACCTTCAGAGCCACAGGTGTGTGCAAGAACATGATGAAGAGCAAGCTGTAGTCTGATGCTGGGTAGATGTCAGAACTAAAGAGAACCAATAGCCCCAGCCTCCACACTTCCGGAAGCGCCTAGCTCAGAAGCCCTGGTTCCTGGCTGTGTGTCCCTGCTGGGCTGGTATCTGGGGCTATAGCTGGGACCCTAACTCCATCTGACTTTCTGGGGCAAAAAACTGGGGGTTGGGGAATTCTCAGAAAAAGGCGTGTCGGGCTTTTGTTTCCACCTGAAGTGAAAGTGTGAAGTGAAAGAGGGTCACAGACAAGCTGGCCTCTCCGTGCTATGACACTGGAGGGGACCGGAAGCTCATGACTGCAAGTGCCCACAGTGGGAGGCTGAGATTTGATGCCCCGGAAATGCTGAGATTTTTTCTGGTGTTGGCGATGGAAGCCAGAGTATTTTGGCATGTGGAGGACGTGCTCTCCCACTGAATCACACCCCAGCAGTCTCGCTGTTCTTGTCTGGGACTGGGAACGAGGAGGTCTGTATTCTACTTCCTTCTTGTCCCACCACTGAGTCTTAGGGCTGGCCCTCTGGGTTTTTCTTTTTCTCATCTTTGAAGAAGGTAGGGTTGATGGTGGTAATTCCTAAGGTCTCCAGATCTCAATGTACCGAGAATGTGTGTGTGTGTCCATGCGTGCACTTGTGTGTGTGTGTACATGTGTGTATATGTGCTCTACACATTAGAACCAGAGCCTCACAGTGTGTTAGACAAGAGCTCTATCACTGAGCTACAACCTGGGCCTTCACTCTAATACTTAATGTCTCCCCTCCCCCATCTATAATAGGAAGGAGTTTGTAATGTATGGAACCTCCATGCAAGTCTCCACTGTGACTCCTTTTTCCTCTCTCTCTCCCCCTCTCTCTCTCTTTCTTTCTCTCTCTTGAGACAGGGTTTCTCTGTATAGCCCTGGCTGTTCTGGAACTCGCTTTATAGAGCAGGCTGGGCTTGAACTCACAGAGATCCACCTGCCTCTGCTTCCCAAGCGCTGGGGTTAAAGGTGTGCACCACCACCGTCTGGCACTCTCCAGTGCCTTGCAGTTGTCGAAGAAGTCACAGGAGTCTGCCTAGTGGAGCTAAGTTCATCTCAAGCCTTGTTGATGTTTGTTGTCCATCACCCTGCCCAGACTTCCCTGGAGTCTCCACTGACAGGTCGGACTCCATCTTTGTGCCTGGACTGTATCTGTCTGTATCAAGCTTAACCACCACCCTGTCTGATGGAGTCCATTGAAAGGATGGCAGACACCTCTAAGTTTTACTATTCCAGACCTGGAGTGCCAAGGTTTTGGAATGACACGTCACTGAGTCATGTCACTGAGTTCCGTCACAGACACAGGCTGTGTGACATGGAGCAAGTCGGGTCCAGTCAAACTCTCTGAGCGTCCATGTCTTCTTCTATGAGTTGGCAATCCAGTCACCCATGTTCCGACAAGCAGATTATTAGATTATTTAAAACTCAGTGGTAAGGGTTAGGGAGATGCTCAGCTGGTACAGTGCCTGCCACATCAGTCGAAGTTTGATCTCCCAGGACCCACATAACAAAATCAGGTATGAGCCAGGCCTAGTGGAACACACCCTTAATGCCAGCACTCGGGAGGCAGAGGCAGGTGGATCTCTGAGTTGGTGACTGACCTGGTCTACATAGTGGGTTCCAGGACAGCCAGAGTTACATGGTGAGAGCCTATCTCAATAAATAAATAAATAGGCAGGTAGGTAGGTAGGTAGGAAGATAGATAGATAGATAGATAGATAGATAGATAGATAGATACTAGCAAAAGCCAGGTGTGGTGCTGTGGATTTGTAATCTCAGCACTGGGGAGATGGAGATAGACAATTTTCTGGGGCTTGCTGCTCAGCCAGTCTAGCCGAAGCAGTGAACTCCAGGTTCAGAAAGAGACCCTGTCTCAAAATGAAGTGGACAGCATCTGAGGAACAATGCCCAAGGCTGACCTCTGACCTCTGTAAGTACACACATGCATAGAAAGAAGCAATAGCAACAACAACAACAAGAACAACAACAAAAACCTAAGCAGGAGCGTGGCTGCCAGACGGAGCTGGAGACAGAGCTGGAGACAGAGCTGGAGACGGAACTGTGCAAAGGGAAGGGTCCCGAGACGTTCAGGGTCTCAGCCCTGGCTTGGCCCAGTCAGTTCTGTGAGAAGCGACAAACACTACAAGATAAACTTCAATAATGGATGTGTCGGCTCTCTCCTATCTCAGACACGCATCCTGAGTTTGGAGCCACAGAGAACAGCTTTTAACCCGCTCCAAGGCTGCGCCCACAGTTTGCTTTTTCTTCCAAGAACATGAAGGGCAGGCTTCGTACCCAAGGCTTCCATCATCCTGGGCAGAATGAAGTGTTCATGGCCATTCCAGTAAAAACCCCAGTGGGTTAGCTGGGCGGTGGTGGTGCACGCCTTTAATCCCAGCACTCAGAAGGCAGAGACAGGCGGATCTCTGTGAGTTTGAAGCCAGCCTGGTCTACAGAGCAAGTTCTAAAACAGGCTCCAAAGCTCCAGAGAAATCCTGTCTCAAAAACCAAAACCAAAACCAAAACAAAACAAAAAACCCACAAACAGCAAGCAACAACAACAAAAAGAGAATAGAGACCTCAAAGCCGGCCCCTATAGTGACACTTTCTCCGTCAAGGGCACAACTCCTAATAACGTCTCTCCCTTTGGGGGCCGTTTCCATTCAAACCACCACAACTGTTGAGCCATCTCTTCACCCAGAAATAACATAGCTTTGTTTTTGTTCTTTTTGGTTTTTCAATACAGGCTTTCTCTGTGTATCCCTAGCTGCCCTGGAACTCGCTCTGTAGCCCAAGCTGCCCTCAAACTCGGAGATCTGCCTGCTTCTGCCTCCCTAGTGATGGGACTAAAGGCATGTGCCACCACCACCTGGCTTAGAAATTGCATCTCTTTAATGGAGATATCCTTACTGCCTGAAGAATAGCTGCTTCAACTCAGCCTGCTGAACTGCCTGCTGTGATTGGAGTCTATGAAGAGCGAGTTTCCTCCATCACAGGCACGAGGGACTTTGTGTGTGCTGCCCTCTCATTCTCTGTTGTTACTCAGATCCATAGCTTCTATTCTTTTGCTTCTTGTGGTCCTGGAAGTTGTACCTACAGCTTCCTGCATACCACGCAAGCACTGTACCACTGAATTTACACATCCTCAGACCATTTTCTTTTTGAGATGCTCTCACTATGTAGCTGTGGTTGGCCTAGAACTCCTATGTAGACCAGGCTGAGCTGTAACTCACAGTGATCCTCCTGCCTCTGTCTCTGAGTCCTGGGATTAAAGGCATGGGCTATATCACTTGGCCAATCCAGTCTTTAATTTTTTTTTTTTTTTAAGTTTTGAGACAGGTTCTTGTTACCTTGTCCAGGACAGCCTTGAGCTCATGATCCTTCTTCTTTAGCTTTTGGAGTAGCGGGTCCTGTTGTCTTTTCTTTAAAATCAAATTATTTGTTTGTAACAGACAGTTGGTAATTGTGTATTTATGACAACATAGTAGCAGGGCAGCTAGAGCTACATGGGGAAATCCTGTCTCAAAGAGAGAGAGAGAGAGAGAGGGAAGGACTAGCCAGTGTGGTTCTCCCTCTCACTGGGCATCGCTTTGTACTGGGGAAATAGATCTTCATCTTTGATCAGGAAATGTGGGGAGATCTGGGTGGGAGAGTGTCATTGTGCAAATCCCTCCTAGGGTGGCCACCCCTCTGTTTGTAATGTGCTTTCTGTAGAAAAGGAACTTTCATGCCAAATCAGGTAGTGTGGCCGTGGGGGCACATGGGACAGAGAAGCCTGAATAATGACAAGATTTTGCACCGTGGTTTCCCGGTACATCAGGGATAGGACATGGTTGGCCTTGTCTTGGCTTTCCTCATCCCCTGTGCT